TACCGCAAACAGATGAACGGTATGGCTGCGCATAAAATACAAACAAACAAAAATCTATTTTTATATATTAGATACGAAAGAGCTTATTTTCAACAGTAACTTTACTCAACAGTTACTTAGAATTTTAAATTTGTCTTTCTTTCATTAGGTATATTAATATTAACAGGTACTTAAAATATTATTTACACTTACGTTCTTCAATCTTATATCATCGATAATTTGTCTGATAATTTAGCAACACCCAAAACAGAAGTCTACAGTTGAGAAAAACTAACGGCCGAGAGTAAACAATTTTACTCAAAGAATCTCGGCCGTTAGTTTTTCTATTCCAATGAAGCGAACGAAAACGGATAATTTTAAACACCATACAGCGTTTTCAATTAATTAGCACTGCCATAACCGGAAGTGTGTGTTGGAGACATTCATGTTAAAACAAAAACCTATAGCCGCGGCCCGTAGTTCGTTAGTCCCACTTACGGCGTTTGTTGTAATCAAAAATGCTAACATCTAAAGTGGTCTAAATATAGATCGTAAGTAATAGGAATAAACGAAGAATTGGAAGTCTCGTGACGGCGCAATGTCTCAATTGTTGTGTTATTTTTATTCACAGTATGATAAGGTTTCGCATATGAATTACGATGGTTTGCAAGCATCATTGAGAGGGCAGGGCGCGTCTCGCTGATACTACATTTATTTATAACAAGCGACCCGCCCCGACTTCGCCTGGGTAGAATGCATTAATGTGGCGAAGTTTAGATTTAAAATAATTTTCAGTCTATATTTTAACAATTTTTAGATCACTCCTAGCATTAATTAATTGTTCGTTTCATTCCAAAGATTAGTCCCGACTAGGATTCCCAACCCTCCCGATTTGCCCGGGAGACGCCGGTAACAATGGTTAAACTACCGACCTCCCGGGGTGAAATAATTTCTCCGGTTTTCCTAAAAATTATACGCATTCTTCTTGGATAGTGACACACTGTATAGGTTGAACTTTGAGTTTTTATAATATCGTGTGAAAAACGAGCACACAGTCCACCTGATGATAAGTGGGTGCTGTGACCCATAGACATCTACATCTATCCTCAATAAAGATTCAAAAAGCAGATGCGTTGTCACCCGTGAGGTCTAAGATGGAATACCTCTTTTCCAGTAAAAAGGGTCTCCGGTTCTCTAGACTCACCATACGAAACACAGCAGTGTTAAGCCGGTATTTTGTGAGAGCGTGGTCCTTCCCCGATCGAGCCGAGCCATTCGTGCTACAACTATACTACTAATATACCTGCAGCATGGCTCTACCACGTAAAAACCATTGACGGGAGATTCAACCACAGCTTGTTAAAGAAAATCGAGTGGATTTACGCTGGGTTCTTTTCGAAATTGAAAGACAGAAATCCCTGCCCTGAATTGAAAAAAAATGGTCACATTTGTTATTTCCATTCCTGTTTCTAATGCTTCTTGCGAGCGCGTATTCAGTATGATGGAACAAGCATAGAGCAAGGAAAGAAACCGAATGAGTATTTCTTTAGTAAAAACAGAGTTACTAGTACTGCTCGAAAGGAAAGTAAATATAAATTTAAAAATTAATAAATTATTGAGATTTTCTTTCAAACAACTCGATTTCATAAAATTCTCCCGTATTGGTCCTTTCGAGAGTTGGTAACCCTAGTCCGGACAGACAAACGCAAAAATGTATTGTGTCTTAATGGCATGCAAATAACCCCTTCAGCTCTACAATGTGATAAACTCAACTTGTGAGAGAGAAACAATGTCACCTTACAATGGATCAAGGGATACAGTCGATCCAGGGGCAACGACGCAGCAGACGAACTAGCTAGAGAAGGATCTCTAGACACTAAAGGACCGGAACCATAGGGTATTTATAAGCATAGCTTGTTTATTACATATTTATAAGGCCGAAACCGATCATACCGATCCCTCATGCGAATGTTCGTTCACTGGTACGTAAGCACAATAATAATCAACACGCTCATTAGAAAAATCTAGAAGACTGTAGACGTGGTAAAGCCATGCTGCAGCTATATTATGGTTGTAGCACGAATGGGTCGGCTCGACCGGGGAAAGACCACGCTCTCACAGAAAACCAGCGTAAAATAGCAGCTTAACGCTGCTGTGTTTCGTATGGTGAGTGTAGAGAACCGGAGACCCTTTTTACTGGCAAAGAGGCATTCGATCTTAGTCCTCACGGGTGACAACGCATCTGCATCTTGAGTCTTTATTGAGGATAGATGTAGATGTCTATGGGTCACAGTAACCACTTACCATCATGTGGACTGTGTGCTCGTTTGTCACCCGATCCTATAAAAAAATAAAAAAAGACAAGCTAAGGAAACCCAGCCAGCAATAAATACTATTAATTAACCCTTTCGCTGTCCCGTGCACTATATATAGGGCACTGCTATTGTCTTACTATTGTGTCTGGAAACCGGACAGTGAAAGTGTTAAGGTACTAATGAGACTAAACAAATCACATCAAGATAGCAAAAGTGCTATTTTGGGGCATGGCCTTTTTACTATTATTAGCCAGTGCTTGATACCTCCTTGATAGATGGTAAGCGGTGCAGCTGAAGGTGATAAAGCGGAATGGCTTAACAAAAGCTTATTCACTCATGCCTTGATTACACCCACATTACCCTGTAAAGAACCTAAAGGCTGGCTGGCTGTTTGAGCTTGTACTCGAGGCTGGTAAGATTTGTTCTAACCATATTAATGTCTCCAATAAGCCTCTTAGCACGCCTTTTCATTGAGTTGAAAGCCGCTCGGTGGAATTTTGTAGCACCAGCTCATACATGGCAGCAATACTCTATGCACGACAGGACATACTGTACCGGCGTGAAGTATTACAGCACCTTTACAAGGACACCTAACTTCCTTGCAGCTGCTTTGGCCCTGATTGTCTAGACTAGAATTACAAGCAAAGAGAGACACGATTCGCCTTTTATTTAGCCGTATTTGTTAGTGTGCCATCCGCTTTTATCAGTGGAGGCAGTGAAAGCTGACAGTAGTCTGTCTCGACAGCTTTGGCAAGAGACCAAAATGCTCGACTGCCGGATGGTCTGACAGAGAGTTTTGCGCCAACATGTTTAATATCGAGAGTAGCTTTCCGCAAAGCTTCTTTGTAAGACTTGGCGACCACGTTAAAAGCCCGCTTCTTAGAGCTGATATCCGGAACTTTGCGCTCTCTAGCATCAATCTACACGCCAAACGCTTTTCAGCTTAGGCGTATTCGGCACTAATCCAAGGGCGAGATTTTCCACCGATGGGTCAGCAAATAGTATAAAATACTCCATCGCTTGACGCACCACATCATTCACCATAGGTGTTAAGACAGTCCCCTGTCCAGAATGTGTATGAGAGAGAAAGCAACGGCGGCCTACGGGCTACTGGTGTGTCCGAAGGTCACCACATATAGGGTTAAACATTTCGGCACACCGAGGTCGCTCCCCAACATCGTCGGCAACATCAAGGGACTGGTGAAGTTCTTGGAGGAGATTTCATGACTCGAATAACCGAAATATTCCTGCTCGTGCGCAAACTACACACTTGGGCATGGATTTGTGATAAATAGTCTGTTGTAAACTAAAGTACCCGAAAACCTTCCTCAACAAATTGTGAAAATAGAATTTTGAAGTAGACTCAGAACTTATTTCTAGGTCAACTGATGTTGATGATTATTTTTTTATTTGAAAGCTAGTGTTTCTAATGTGTTCCCATATAAATTTGATCAAGATCTGACCAGTAATTTATGAGTTATCCTTAATGCGTATTTAATTGACTTTGATCACATTGATGATGTCCTCACTTTATTTATATTGAAATCGGTACAAAATTTTAAATTTTACTGCTTGTATTGTATTTATATCTCCATTATTCTATTGTTCTTATATGATGGTAAAAATTTGATGCAGTATCAGAGTGAGAGATCACAAAAATAATTTTACCCAAAAATCACCAGACTTACTGAATTTTATCACATGGCTATAACATTGGATATAGAAACATTGGACTAAAAAAAACATAGGTGATGAAATTATTAAAACAGCCAGATTGAATAATTGTAGAAAAAATGGGTCGGCTCAACTGGGGAAGAACCGGAGACCATTTTTACTGGAACAGGCATTCTGACTTAGCCCTCATGGCTGACAACGAATCTGCATTTTTATTCACAAACGAGATTAGATGGAGATGTCTATGGGCCACAGCAACCACTTACTTCAAGAAAAGAGCCTACTCCTTTTTAAAAGGCCGGCAACGCATCTGCAATTCCCCTGGTGTTGCGGTTGTTCATGGGCGGCGGTAGTCACTTACCATCAGGTGAGCCGCATGCTCGTTTGCCCCCTCTCCTATATATAAAAAAAAAAAAAAAAAAAAATCAGGTGGACTGTGTGCTCACCTGTCACCCTTATCCTATAAAAAAAAATCTCAGTTTAATTCCTGTTCAAAAATATTCACTTGATTTTAAAAGAATAAATATTAATTTAATTTATATATGCTAGTGACGGCTCCATGGGACAGTGACTTAGCAATGAGTTGCAGTGCTGGGGACTCCAGGTTCGAATCCCACATGGAACATATAAATAATTGTTCAGGGTCTGAATTTTTGTCCTTGTGCAATTTATCTGCCTCTACAATGCAGGATAAAATCCTAGTGTGGAGTTAACATTTTAAAAAGAAAAAGAAAACATATATAATATTTATATTGTAATTATTTGGTATTTGTCTATTATTTCATTCATTCATTACAGCCTTGTCCAGCGATTGCCTCTAATGGGGGATAATTGCCTTAGGTGCCATGCTTGGATGCTTCATTCTATAGTTGTTATTGAGAAGACGCTGCTGCCCATCTCCTGTTTTGTTTCCCTCTGTCACCTTTAACTGTACTCACGGTATGAAATGTGGTAGGAGAAATTCTTTTGCCACAATAAAATGATTTGTATATACAAAGTTTTTGATTCAAAATATGTAATACATGAACCTACCATGTAACAAAACCCATTTGACATCTCCACAATATATGGCAGCTGATCCTTCGTTTGTTGGTCTGGTTTCTCATTTTTAATAACAGGAACCCTCTCTATTGTTGATGAATCAAAGAGAACCTTTCTCCCTCTCCAGTCACACTCTTTAAATAAAAGCAGTCTCACTTGCTCCGGCGTTATTTCACTGGACCTACCAAAAAAAATCTCTTTATTAAACTTACAATATCATAGAAAATTATGTGAACTCAAGTGACTAGAAGTTAGAAAATCATAAATATATAAATTTATACATCGTACAGCTATTTTCAGTATTTCATTAAAACTATACGCAAGCTAAGGGGATAAAACCACTGTCTATTATCTGACAGTAAAACCCAACCCTCTTAACTATTTCAACTGAGATATCCTAATGTTTGTTACTGTCATTCATAGGGGGGTATGGAGTGACGACCTGGTAAGACATGCAGGAAGTCGATGGATGCAGGTGGCTCAGGACCGTGCTTTGTGGCATTCTTTGGGGGAGGCCTATGTTCAGCAGTGGACTTGTGAAGGGCTGTAATGATGATGATGATGATGATCCTAATGTTTTAAATAACTGAATTTTTAATTGCTATTATGTAAAAATATTTCTCTTAATAATATCTGATAATCATTATCATTAACAAGAAATAGAATTTTTTTAGCATTTTGAGGCACAATGTATTTACCTACCTTGAAACCTACTACCTACTACACCTACTGTGAAAATATATATTTTTAACTTATGAAAACTGTATATTAAAAATCAGTTTTCAAAGTTATACCTCAAAAATAAAATTAATCACCTTGTTAGGATGTTGAAGCAGTAGCGATAGGGAGGATATGTGTCACTCCCTACCAATTCCTTCAAACCTAAGGATAGGACACTAAGAAAAGTCTTAAAATTCTTCTTCTCGAGTTGTGGTCACAAGTAACCTAATACTACGATTTACACTTACAAAGTGTGGATGTAATACCTTTTGGCATTATCAACTTACCCACTAGTTTACCTAGTATATGTAAATGAGAACCACTTATATTTAACAAAATTCATTCTTCTGTTCATTCAATATAGCCATGCATAGGTTGAACTGAGCTTTATACTGAAAGTACTAACAAAACTTTCTCTTGTACACATAATGACATGCTTTTTGTCACCAAACAACTGTCCAGCAATATTGTTAAACCATGAAATTGACTGATTAATATCACCTGTTCTTAGCAGATATCACTGTTTACCTAGTTAAAAAACTTATCATAGTATATTGAATTACTAACCTACCATACAATATTCTAAAAAAATAGTTATGAGATAACAGGATGTAATATAAATATTGGGAAAAAATTACCTAAATTTCATTTTATTTCATACTCATTTATGGCTATTATTGTTCACAGTTTTTACCATCAACAAAAAGACAAGTCTTTGTCACATAAAAACACTGCTCACAAAAATGCTATACAGAAACTTCTAATTTAAATGCACATCAACAGCCAAATGACAACTGCCGATCGGCCGAACTAAGTGGAATGTGCAAGTATACTAGTAGCCCGCGAGTAAATAATAAGTAAACATCAATTCAATTGATCCTCCCCTCTTTGAGAGTGACGCGATCATTGCGCCCACGCCCGCGTCCCGCTACCCGCGCTTATCACATGCTCGTACCACCCGTCTCCCGTAGTATTGGCCGTTGACGCTCGCTGAACAGCCACTGCTTGCGTGCGTCAGAACAAATTTAAAATGCGTACGTAAACGAACACCTTCGACGTTGACAAACAACGAAGATTCGTGCGTCAACCCTGCAACTGCATGCCACAATCTAATAAAAATAGTCAAATGAATGAAAACCTCCTACTACCACATACCTGGCCCAGTTTCTTGATTCCCGATCAACGTATTCAAGTTTTCTCTTTGTTGAAAAGATTTTATCGAACAATGCCATTGCCTCACACGAAACATTTCACAATATTCTCATGGTCACTGTTATCAGACATCTTAAATCATATAACTATTACCACAAGTACCATTAAATAAATAAATAATTTATGTTTTTTTGTTAAAACATAACTTCGGTATACGGTAGTAAATAATTTGACAGATCACGTGCGAAAGTCATATGATTTTCCATAGACTAATAAAAGAAAACTATATTCAAACCAGAGGTCAAGGCCAACGCTGAAATAAATATGACGACTGTGGGTTCTAGCTGAAAACCCACAACTAAACGTAGTGATTATATTCTCTTTGTCCACAACAATAATTACAAACATGCAACAATTAACAAATGCAAAAAAAAACAATCGTGAACACTGCACACGGAGTATATAGTGCCACCAACTTATCTGTTCAGTTGACAGCGTCGCTAGTGGAGTGCTTACTATTGTCATTTAAGAAATTCACCGAGGAAATAGGTAACTACATATTCATTGCACATAACAAATTTCGTGTTAATATATTAAAATTAGTAAGAAGTAGTGTTATTATTTATATTTTATAAAAATAATTGTGGTCGTGATCTCGGAGTTCAAGCGGGCGAATACCAGGAATTTCTGTTTTGAAAAATGTACCCGCGTTGGCTACTGAATAATTCCAATAATTCATCACAGGAATCGCTTTCACTATCGCTATAACACTATAATAAATGGTTCATTTAAATACGCGTCTTTTAGTCTGTAATATTTTTCCATTGCATTGGTGTAATTTTATGAAATGAATCTTCAATTAATTGGGGCATTAGAATATTAGCAACACAAACTACAAAGCTAGGTACTTAGATGAATTGCAGTAAATCGAGATAATTTTTTTACTATGTTTCACAAGTACATTATTTGGTGATTTTAATTTTCCATATCTGCCAATACTAACCTGTCGCGGCAGCAACGCGTTCATACAGCTTTAAAATGGTATAATTGGGACTTGTACACGTTTCTCTTGTTTCATAAAAGATAAAATTTTTAGGATAATCTATCGCGCATCACTTTTAAGATCTTTAGGCATTTTATTTACACTTTTATAAAACACTCACCTGATAGCTCAGAATAAATAATAGCTGACAGGGAAATGTCATTTACAAAATGGTGACTTTAGTTCCAATTTTGTCCACCTGAACAGATAAGTTGGTGGCACTAGTAGCTGGCTATAGTAAGCACTCTGATTTTTTTTTAATTTTCAAACTAACACTTACAGTAGATACCTTCCAGGCATTATTGATATCTGTTTTTTTTTTAAACGTTACCCCCACTCTAGGATTTTCTACTGTGTCGTGGAGGCAGTTTACAAACATAAGTTGCACAAAGACAAACATCCAGACCCGGAGCAATTATTTGTAGGCCATACAAATACTTGTTCCGTGCGGGATTCGAACCCGCGGCCCCCAGCGCAACAACTGATTGCTAAGCCACTGCGCCACGGAGCCGTATCTGTGACTCTTATTATACTCCTATACTATTTGAACAATGAGTAAACATTTTTATTAGATAAACTAGCTGTGCCCCTCTGTACACGCCCTTAGTTGCCCCAATAAAGGTCGACTGGACCAGGGCCCATGAGTGGTCCCCTCGACGAGCAACCAAGGGTGGAGCCCAATGGCCTATGGATAACGGTTCCAAAAACGGCTGACAAATAAGCAAGCACCACTTACCGATATCCGGAGGCAGGGTTGACCACAGATCCATCCAGGGCGTTCACCAATTGAAAACTTCTGTTTCTATTTTCACTATATTAGTTTATCAACTTTATTGTACATTTAATTAACTTCAAATTCAACCAAATCAACGTTAATCGACATTAAAACAAGTGACATGCTGCACAACTTAAGGACGGTCGGTCAAGGTTCAAAGTCCCAGGTTCACTTAGCACAAAATTATACCCACGAGAACGAACGCGGTCTCTTCTCGAGGCACAAAGTTCAGCGTTCTCCCGACAAAGTAAAAGTCTTATCACGCTATCAAATGACGCACAAACAAGTCGTCGATGCAAATTAACGACATAGAAGTTCATTTAATCACTCAAAACGCAAATTACTCTTGTCACGTAACACAACTACTAACTACACAACTAAGCTAACACGCGCAACCGTCTAACGGTCGCAAACAATACTCAAAACGGTTAAAATAATAATTATATGATATTGGCCTCGTTATCACGAAAAACAAATTAAGAGAACACTGTAGGAGGCGCGCGACGGACCGACGCGCAACAATTTATACTCAATTATATGATATTGGCCTCGTTATCACGAAAAAGAAATTAAGATAACACTGTAGAAGGTGCGCGACGGACCGACGCGCAACAACGCTTATTCCATCCTAGTAGACAGAGCCGCGACGGTCCAGACACTGACCTCTCAGCCCACACGGCCGAGACAACGGGAAGCGGCACACGGCCCCCTTCCCCCCGGCGGCGTTCACCTCACCTCGATACCATCGGGTGACGCGCTGGGTCAAACGTTATTGGATGCAAATTTCAATGCCCATATTAGACCTAAACACCCGCGGTTTCACCCGCGTCATCGTCATTGTCAACGTGTCCGAGATGTGCGGTATGACATGACACCTAGTTCAAGCATTCTATAAATGCAATCAAATATTTTATTTGATAGTAATGTATGGAAAAATTGGTATAATTAATGGAGTACTTTTATTTTATCGGTCGGTATATTATATATGATGTAGAGCGAATATATGCAGAGCGAAATTAAGTTTTATCCACTTTCCCCTCCCGATTGAGCGTCCTCCCCCTCCCAATCCCCACGTCCCAGAAAGTGTCCCGAAGTGCGGTTTTTTCCAGTTTTATAAAACGTGTCACAAAATACCCTGTAAAAAATATAATTAATTATCTTAGCCAAAAATTTTGTCAACCCTAGTAAGCTGTCATGTCAGGGAACCAGATTGTTTGACAGATAGGCCTACGTACCTGTTTTACTTAATAGTTGTCTACTTTAATAGTTTTTCTATTTTTCATTCATAAATGTTTGCTACCTCAATACAAGGATGTCATTATACTCAAGTACTGGCTTCAAAAAATGTCAAGTTGGAAAAATATTTGTTGCCAATTTGCTTATGCGAAGGACAGAAGTGTATTTCTCCGATTGCCCAGCGGTTGCCGAGATGGAACAGTGTGTTAGATTGGTTTTCGCATCAATAACACCGACGATGGTGCGAAATGCCACACAAGCCATATGCCGACGAGCGAGGTTGTGTATTGAGCAAGGCGGAGCACACTTTGAGCCGTTTCTGTAAATTTAACGTTTATTATGAAAAAGAAAGTGAACGTTTAGGTTGTTTCCTTAGGTTAGTTCTTTTAAATTTTTTGTCGTTCCGCGAATTAGGTAGAAATGTAGGTACCTTCTGCGTAGTTTGCTCTTTAATTTTACTGAAATAGGGTTTCACATTAGTGAAAACAATAATATTTTTTGTTTCTTTGGGGTATGTCATACAGCGTTACTACGGTTCTTAAATATTGTGAATTGACTCGTTATAAGGCCCCATTTAACCTCCTTTCGGCTTTACGGGTAATTTTCCAATAACCCGTAGAAAATCGTACACGATACATGAAAAGTGGGTAGGCATGAAATGATTCTTGATAAATTTGATATCAACCTCTTATACTTATTAATCAATTAAACTTTCAAAATACCATAGCAACGTGAAATAAAAGAGTTCAGAAATAAAGATGTAATTAATCATTGTTATATTGTTATATCGCGTATGCTTACCTGAGACGAATAATCCGACTAGGTTAGTCCAACTTCGACCGAGAGTCAATCGACGGATTCAACTCGGCTGGGCAGCGTTTGGGAAATTACGACACATATTCTCGTCAGGTATACCTCAAAACTTTAAAACGAGACAGTACAACCACTGCATGTTGCCAGTGATGACTTATGGAACTTAGACGTTGTCCTTCACTGCTGGCCTTATGAGCTCAAGGTCACTCAGCGATCTGTGGAGAGGGATATGCTCGGGGATTTTCTGCGTGATAAACTTAAAAATGAGGATATCAGTAGTAGAACCAGATTGATCGACATAGCCCAATGGATTAGTAAGCTGAAGTGGTAATTGGCCGGCCATATAGCTCGAAGAACGGACAATCGATGGGGAAAAAAGGTTCTCGAGTGTCAGCCTCGTACGGTAAGCGCAGTGTAGGGCGACCCCCCACTAGATGGAGTTACGACCTGGTAAGACATGCAGGAAGTCGATGGATGCAGGTGGCTCAGGACCATGCTTTGTGGCATTCTTTGAGGGCCTTTGTTCACCAGTGGACTTGTGAAGGGCTGTAAAGAAAATGTAGTGGCGTAAAAAAACTGTAAATTTAACTCTAGTAAAGTGAGGTAACGCGGGGGAATGCCAATTTTCTTAATTTTTACGTGTTAATATTGATGGTCAAAATAATATTGCATTACAATTATACCTATTTTACGTGGTAGAGCCATACTACAGTATGGTTGTGACACTTACGGCTCGGCTCGACCAGGGAATGTAGCAGCAGTGTTTAGCATGCTGAGTGTAGAGAAATAAGGATCATTTTCACTGGGAACGAGGCATTCCATCTTAATCTTCATCTTCAGGGGTGACAACGAATCTGCATTTTGATCCTTAATTGAATACGAGGATAACTGTAGATACCTGTGGGCTACGGGACGCCATCATCCGATGATATGTGTGCTTGTTTATCAACCTTATTCTATAAAATAAAACTATTATGTAACACGGTTTTCATAAGCTGATTTAAAAAAAGGAGGAGAATTTCAATTCGAGTGCATGTTTTTTTTGTATGTGTGTTACCGATTTTAATGATTATTTTTTAATAAATAGGTTATACTTCAGAGGTAGTCCCGTGAAATTTGTTGAAAAATCTATGTACCCCTAAGGGTGAAAAAATATTAGATGAAATTTATAATGCAATTGCAACTGAGCCACATGCTCGTTCCCTCGCCTATAA